AAGATACAGTGAGTACTAAAATCTGATTGTATTTTTTATTTATTAAATTTATTATTCATATTAGCTATGGTTAATTGTTTAAAATTGTAGATGCTCAGAGCAAAAGTGTTGTTCAAAGAAGATTCCAAATTCAAATCCGGATGGAAATACGATCATGTTTGGGATATTATTAAAAACTTCGAAAAATTTAAAGATGGAGCTTCGAGGAGCAAGAAAAAACAGTCTGGTTGTTATCCATCTTCGGAGTCAGAAAATCCAACGCCCGAGTCTGCCCGACAAGAATCCGCAGGTATTTCTTCATTTTCTATAAATTTAAGCGACTCAGATCAAATTGCTACTGGTTCTCCATCTGAAAGACCTATCGGGGTCAAGAAAGCCAAACTAAAAAGAAGGGTAAATGATGATTCATCATCGCTCATCAATGCGATGAAAGAAGCAAACAAAAGACTTGTTGAGGAGATGAAAAATGCAAATGACCAAATAAAACATCAAATGGAGATGCATAATAGATCACTCGCTTTAAAAGAAATGAGGGAAGAAAATAAAATTCTGTTTCAAGATGTCAGTTCCATTGAAGATCCTAGAGTTCGAGCATACATTGAAGTTGAAAAGGCACGAATCTTGGAGAAAAGAGCTCAACAAGCCCAACCGGATCCATATCCGCCTAATGCATTTGACCAATTTTTCAATGATCTTGGAGGAAGCGGTGCCAACTTGCCAGATTACTAAGTATTCGTGCTTGTTTTCAGTTGTTGGGTTTATGAAGTATTTTTATTTTAGTACTGTGTGATGTTGTAATTTTATTTCAGCACTAGTTATTGAAATGTTTTTCCTTGAACCGTGATCTATCATGTACTAATGGTATTGCTATTTGTATTAGTAATGTTGTTGTTAAACATAATATTTATTATTTTAAAAATTGTACTATTTAATTTTTATGAAATCAAGTTTTTTTTTACTATTTTACATTATTATTGTGAAAAAATATAAAATTAATATGTATATTTACACTATTATTGTGAACAAATATAAAATAATATGTTATTCATTATTTTAATGAAATTAAAAAAAGGGAGAATAATATGTTATTCATTATTTTAATAAAATTAAAAAAAAAAAAAAAGAAAATTTTAGTATGTTTTAAATTATCTTTCCAATTCATATTATCTTAGCATTCTAAATCACATAAATAATATGTATATTTTACCTTATTATTGTGAAATATATAAAATTAAATGATAAATATAATATTTAATATTTTAAATATTATACTATGTAATTTTTATGAAATTATTTCTATTACAATTTTATATTAATAATCAAATCAATATTAGGTGTTATTAATTATCTTTTGTTTGTTAATAGGTACCAATTTGTAATTAAAATAAAAAAAGGGTTGAGATTATAATTTAAAAAATGCAAACGCAAAAAATTGCGATCAAACGCAAATTTGCAGTACCAAGAGGAGAGAGAATGCTGTAAACGCAATTTGGGTATGCGTTTCAGAATCGGTTGGAGAGATTTTGAGGATTTTTGGATCGCATTTTGTGTTTTCCGTCTCGGTTGGAGACGGTCTAAATTAATGGAGAAAGTTAGATTTTGTGTATCAAAAGATTGATTGATATATGCAGTATGCAATGCAATGCATCCCCCACCCCCACAAGAATAATCTTGTCTACTAACAACTTTCCCTTTTAAGCCAAACATGCAACTTAAAACATATCTTAGTTGCATACCCCTTTTGGGTTAATTAAAACATTATAACATCATCCAATTAACCCCCAGTCCAAACCATACTAATAAATTCTAATAATTGGTCTCTATATAGTTAATTTTTTTCAAAAGTCATGTTTCAGCATTATTTTTTAGATAAATGCAACAACATTATAAAATTCACATTACGTAAACTATAGTATAACACCTGTATATTACAGGAGTGCTTGTTTAAAAATATTATTAAATTTAAATATTCTTTTACAAAAAAATATATATTACTGTATATTTAGAATAGTGACACACACAAATTCACATGTACTCATAGATATACACAGAACTGGAAATTCATTTCCATGAAATATTGACATAAAACTTACCCGAAATGGCAATATCGGAGGATCAGAAGCCCATCACTTTTATTTAATTTTATTATCTGTGAATTAAAGTATCTTTTTGTTTTTTTTTGTATGGGCACATCGTACGTACATATGTGGTGACAGACAGTTGAACTTCCCAATTTGGGGTGGCCCTCTTATACATTTTTTTATGCCTCTATTACTATATATAGCCCAAGTGGGTCTGGTCTAGTGATTAAACAAAGTTTTTCAACTTTTCATGTCCATATTTAACAATTAATAATTAAATAAATAATATTCGCATATTTCAATGGTTCGGGGTGGGCCACGTGGCGTCTTCTGCTCCTTTTGTAGTTGTAGATACTCCTGTCCTCTTTGCTTTCCTCTGTTCTGTTCAGGACATCATTTTTCACTTATTCCCCAAAATGTCCTTCAATCCATCTTATTCCCCTCGTGTTTTGTGTGTAGAATCCTTTTCTTTCAGGATAAGGTTGAACTGATTATTACAAGACAACAACCACCGGAAAGAATCCTTAACATGAGGACATGAAATTTATGCTCTACTATGTATATAGTGAACTGATAACTTGAAATGTTTGCATGAAGAGTTGATATGCAGCAGTCATTTTTAGGACAACAACATGAGTTGCTTTACAAACGCAGAAGAATCACAAACCTAAACATACATCTGGCGGATTAACAAAGCTCAAAATGTGAAACTAAAGAAAGAAACAAAAGATAACAATTAAACAACTTCAGAACAGTAAATTTTCAAATACCTTACTCTGCCCCAATACGTACTCTCGCCCCTCTCGAACTACCAATAGTCCCTGCAAGAACACGACCCCCCATTAAAGTGGTGGAACCTGTTTGTGTCCCTCAGCACGATTTCTCTCCCCACCAACTTGGACACAAACTTGAACGCCGTGTGGCAGTCTCCACACACCCTGATGTTCTTCTTTATCGAGATGGGCAGTCCCGGTGGCATTTTCAGAAGCGCAAACGCAAGCGCCAGCTTCTCACTGTGGCATTGCAGCCTCTCCTCCCTCTCCCTCTCATCCACATACCAAAGCACATGCCTCGTGTCAGGCACGTACCCGATTTTCATAATCCCGTCTCTCATCTTCTCCCACATAACCCGAATCTCCTCCCTCTCGGGATTCGTGTCGTCGTTCGCCAAAAACACATGGACAGCTCCCCCGATCTCGACCCAGCTGCACGCGGGCTCCTTCTTCACCCCACACCTACCCATCGCTTTTCTCACTCGTGCGGCATCCCCCAGCTGCCCCGTGGAGGCATAGATGTTGGAGAGCAGCACGTGGGGCCCAGAGTCGAGGGGGTCGAGCTTGAAAACCTGCTCGGCAGCGTAGGTGCCGAGATTCGTGTTCCTGTACATCCTGCAGGCACCCAGCAGGGCTTTCCAAACAGCTGCCGTGGGCTTCACTCGCATTTCTTGTATGAAGCACAGCGCACGGTCGAGCTGCCCGGCCCGGCCTAATAAGTCGACGACACTCACACAATGTGTGATGTCGGGCTCTTGTTCATACTTCCGCATCAGGTTAAAGTAGTGTAACCCTTGGTCCACAAGCCCCGCGTGGCTGCAGGCAGTGAGCACACATAGGAAAGTGATCCCGTTGGGCTGAAATCCGGCCCCACGCATCTCCTCAAAGAGAGATACAGCTTGTTCCCCAAAACCGTGCTGCGCATAAGCTGTGAGCATTGAGTTCCATGAGACAACGTCCTTTTTCACCAACCGCCGGAAAACCCGGTTGGCATCCTCAATGCTTCCAGCCTTTCCGTACATGTCAAGGAGAGTGTTTCCAACAAAGGCAATAAGCTTTGTCCCTGATTTCACCATATCCGCGTGGGCCCACCTCCCCTGCTCCATAGCCCCGCTGCCTGCACACGCCGCGAAAATGCTCGAGTACGTGAAGTGGGTGGGCCCATACCCACCCCTTTTCATCTCTGAGAATAAGGCCACTGCATGGTGTCCCTCTCCTTCCCGAGCGTACGCTGCAATTAATGCATTCCAAGAAACCTCATTTTTACAGTGCAGCCCGTTAAACACGACCTTCGCATCTTCCATTCTCTTGCATCTGGCATACATGTCCACCAATGCGCTCCCAACATACAAATTCTCTTCAAACCCACTCCTCAAGCAAGACCCGTGAATGCCTCCACCTATCACATAACTCTGCAGACCACCTGCAGATTTAAGAGCGCTACCAAAAGTAAACTCGTTTGGCCGTAATCCGATTCTCAACATATTTAAATACAGAAACAAAGCCTCCTTAAACTCGTTATGGTGGGAGTACCCAGTGATCAGCATGGTATAGGAGACCATGTCCCGTTCGATCATTTCGTCGAACACCTTGCGTGCCATCTTCATGTCCCCACACTTGGCGCACATATTGATGGCCGTGTTTCGAATAGCGGCGTAATGGCGGTACCTCGAGGCACTAAAATGGGTGTAAACCATTTGGCCCACCCTTAGCTTCCCCTGATCGGTGCACCTCTTGAGGAGATCGGCGTACAACCTCGCGTCCGGTTCCATTGAGCCTTGGTCGATGAGGTCGAGAACCAGGAGAGTATTTCCTTCGGGGCCCATTCTGAGAAGGTCTTTGTCATGGATCACGCCCTGGAACCGGGCAGCGTCATCCCGGGCAGGGAGCTGAACCGCGCTTAATGTGGAGAGGGAATTGGAAAGGGAAGAGAAAATGAGGGGCTTCAATTGTTGGAGAAGTGAGGCGGTTGAGGGGCGGTGGTGGGCGGCGAGGTTACAGCTCCGGCGTCTCATGTCACGTGTGCGCCGGAGGATTTGTTTTAGTAAGGTGACCGACTAATGGATATAGAAATATTGAGTCGGAAAAAGTTTGCAACGGTTGGTTGTGACTTGGGAGTCTCATTAATTTACTAATAGAATTATTTGACTAGAGCATCTACAATGTATTGGGTCTAGTCTTGTATATGAGGCACGTAAGCATCTGCAATGTTTTGGGTTCAATCACAAAAAATTGTATGACACATAAGAAATAGACCTAGTCTACAGAAATGTATTCTCCAGTGCAAACAAAAGTAGATTGGGTCCTGCTGATGTGACAGCCAGAAAAAGAGATCCGGTCTACCCTTAAGTCTATTTTAGACTCAAGTAGAGACCTAGTCTCTTTGCATTGGAGTAAGTTTTATTAATTTTACATACTTTTATCCATGTTATCCAAGACTTGAGTTTATTTACATGCCACATAGGCAAGACTATACCAAATGCATTGTAGATGCCCTAAATAAACCCAAATCGTGAATGACGTGGATAAAACTATCTAAAATTAACAAAACTTATTTCAATGCAAAGAGACTAGGTCTTTGCTTGAGTCTAAAATAGACTTAAGGGTAGACTGTGTCTCTTTTTCTGGCTGCCACATAAGCAGGACTCAGTCTACTTTTATTTGCATTGGATAATAAAATTTTTTTAGACTGTGTCTATTTATTAGGTGTCATATAATTTTTTGTGATTGAACCCAAAGCATTGTGGATGCTCTGAGTGTCCATCATTTTATAATAATGAACTTTTCAAACAATAGATATATCATCAATTTACAAAAAAATAAAATAAATAAATAAATAAATAAAAGGAAAGAGTAATAAATTCTCCTATATATAATTCTTAAAAGTGCTCTGAATGTGCTGAGTTTGTGTGGCTACTTCTGTGTTTCGAAATTCTATTTGACAAGAAATCATGATTCGTAATCTATTACTATATAATTAGGCAACCCACTTACTAAAAATAGTAAGTGTTTTAGTGGGTCCCTCATTATATTACTATTTATAGAAAGTTAGTTCCAATTTTTTATTATTTTATTAAACATGCTTCAACCTCCGTTAATTTTTTTTTTTTCGTTTTTAATGATAGGTTAATAGTAAAAGTGGACCTAAATTTGTTATTACCATTTATAGATAGGCATTTTAAAATGTTTTGTTTGTTTTGATTTCTCATTAATATAAAAGTAAATTTCTTTTTACATGTACATGATATGTTGAATCACGGTGAATTATTTACGATGTATGTTAAATAATAATTTATACTTAAAGTCTTCCTAAAAATATGAAGATACTAGATAACAATATGGTACTTATTTAAACAAAAGATTGGTTCACAAGTGAAAAAATTGTAAGTATATGTATAGAAAATTATAGTTAATAAATAAGATAACATTATAAATTATAAAACCGGACAATTAAGAAATAATATATTCAAGTGTCAAAATACGATCTAAATTACATGATAAATTCATACAAACTGTAATAAAATGTGATAAGATAATAAAATAATTTGAGAATTTTTTTATACCCCAACTATATATATTTGCACATTTAGTACATGATGTCCCAATTAAATTAATTTAGTTACTCAACTTTTCGTTTATCAATAAATTTTGGTCTACATCCTTAGATTTCATAAAAAAAAAAAATAAATAACGGTTTTAGAAAGAAATTTGTTAAAATTCATGAAAAATTATATAAAAAAAAAACTATATAAAAAAATACATTAATACTATGTCAATTTGTTCTATTAATAAAAAAAAACTAAAGAATATATACATATAGGAATCTACTTTTAGGCTTTTAATTCTGAACTTTACATTGTTGTTTCTCAAGTTACAAATGAAAAGACACAAGATACTGATATATAATGAGGGAAGATGCTACGGTCCCGTTACAGAACCAATCTGTCGGGATTTGTAACCGTCAAATCAACTATCTCTGACCGTTATATGTTGATCTAACGGTTACAAACCCCGACGACATGGTTCCGTAACAGTACCTTAGCATCTTCCTATAATGAGAAATAAAATATACAGATATAAACATTGTATATAGTAGTCTATTTTAATTGCATATAAAAATTATTTGTTCTATTTTAATGTGTGTGTATGTCGTGCCCTTGAATTGTGAATCTTGGCGTCGACATTTTGGAATCGAAGATGGAGGATTATACGAGAGAAATGATGGATTTAAAAACCCTGGTTACACGTACTCTCGAGAAGAAAGGCGTCCTTGCCAAGATCCGTGTTAGTTAGCATTCATTCCCCCCCACTCTCTCACTCTTCCTTCTTTTTCCTTAAATTAATTATTTGGCTTTGCTCAACGAGACCACCAGAGTCTCCCAGCTATCCGGTAAAGAACTCAAAAGTAACAGTGCCTGCAGCTCTTCATCAAGTTTCATTTCCATGGTAACAAGTTGGTTTACCATGTCTTGAAACTCATTCAAGTGTTCAGCAACTGATCTTCCATCCCGATATTTTAGATTTACAAGCTTTCTAATGACGAAAGCTTTATTCTGTGCAGTCTTCCTCTGGTACATTTGTTCAACTTTGTTCCACAGAGTATGGACTTTCGATTCTGTGGCAACATGGTGGAATATGCTGATATCCACCCACTGTCGGATTAAACTGACAGCCTTTCTGTGTAGCTTTTTCCAATCATCATCCTTCACGTCATCTGACTTGTTGTCTCCCTTTTCTACAGGGTCGTACAGATCTTTGTAGAAAAGTATGTCCTCCATTTTTGGCTTCCAAATGGAGTAATTTGTTGCTGTGAGCTTCACCATGGTACCCACGTTCTCCTCCATTTAATTTACACGGGTCGATACAGAGCCCAACCTGAGCTCTGATACCACTTGTTGGGCTCAGATGCGCAAATGCGGAAGATGTAAATTAAAATATCAAAGTAAAATGGTGAATATTAATCCCAATCCCAGCAACTCATGAATGACAAAAGAAATCTCTTGCAATAAAACCGGAATAATTCTTTTCTGATGTGGAAGTTCAGATTAAACTGCGACCACAGAGCATACTAAGAATATCCCAAATAAATAAA